TAAAACAAGTACATTTAGGTAGTGGTAATTAGGTAAAAGACTGGTAGGAAATAGAATAGTAAAAACGTAGAAAAGTTTAGTGTGGTTTGAAATTCCCAGGAAAAGACAACTGATACTAACATTGTACATATCCTGGAGGACCAGCAGCAGGTTTCTGACTCCAGAGTTGCGAGGTACAGGTTGAGAGGACAGGATCACTGAGAGGGCCTGCTTCCATACCTTCACATGTTTAACCATGGTGGAGGGCGACAGTGAAGACCACCAGTCCACTGAAGGAGACAGCATGGAGATTTGCAGACATTAAAGGGTAACTTTGGTCTTTTTCAACCTGGACATTATTTTACAAAATATTTTTTAACAGGCTACAACATGATCCTTATGGGTAATTGTGCATCGTCAAAATACATTCATTAAATGTTCTTCTTTTTGCCACTGACCAGTTCAGAAAGTGTTTGACAACATTATTTTAAGCTGGTGGACACTTTTTTTTTACTGTAGGTCTGGTAAGCACACTATTAACATGAGCCTGTGATTAATGATAAAGGAAGCCTCTCAAACTTTCATACAGTTATTTCTCACAGTACCTAGGACCTGGAGGCTTTCAGCAGAGAGTCTCTGAATGGCAGCAGCAACCGTCTCTGCAAGCTCAGTCCCCCAACTGTTGTGTCTCTGGATCATGTGCAGAAGCTCATTGAGCAGCGGGAAGACCCTTAACCCCTCCACTCCCACTGGTTCCTCATCAAGAGACGGAAGCAACTGCAAAACAGCAGCCTCAACCTGTTGAGAAAAGATAACTTAACAACTGAGTAGAGTATTACTAAATGGTTGGGAAAGTAAACACAATCTCCCTTGTCAATTACTGATCAGTTACCAAACATACAGTCACATTTGTGTTTCATACCTCTGCAAAAATATCCTGCTTCTTCACCAGTTTCTCAAAAGCAAGTTGTGCAAGTGACAAGTTCAAGCCGGAGTACTTTGGTGAGGTCTGGAAATGTTTATCTTTGCTATGAAGACAAAAAGTATGTGTAAATGTAATGTACAGATACAGAGGAGAAGAAGTAAAGATCATACACACGATGGTGTTTACCTTTGGTCAAGGAAACACTGGTTCACATAGGATGCAGAGGAAAACGTCCTGTGGATCTCCCTGTGAAGGTTTCATATGGTTAGTTTATAACACTGAGAATACAGTGTTAATGGCTCTGCAGACAAACAATAGACTATTTAACAAACAGTTTGAGATAATAGTACCTGTTCATGCATTATACTTACTGCTTTATCTTTTTCCATGATTTTGAATCACACATAGAGTTCCAGTTGTCAATCATATCATCAATAGAGTGCTTTGTTACATTGTTGACGCTGTCAGTGTTTAACTCCTGAACGTCCTGTGAAAGAAACAAGACATGTTTGGTTTAGAAAAAATTACTATATAAATAATTGTATTATTACACCTCCTGCAGTTATGGTGTGTATTGTATGTATTTGTGTTGGTACCTGAATAGACGTGCACGTTGCAAATGAACAGTTTCCTCCTGCGTAGATGTTTCTAATTATGAGACCATTAGTGGTGTCTGAAATAATAATAGAATAAAAGTTATGTCTAATCTTGACATAATTTGACTGTATGGGATAATTTACTCAGGTGACAGTCGACCAGCCTATACCCTTGGACTGTCTCAAACATATAGTACATCTACGTATTCAGTATAAGGCCTTAGTAGATTTAGATTTGTATCCTATTCTGGTACTTATGGTGTACCACAAGGTTCCATTTTTGGCCCCATTTTATTTTCACTATATATGCTGCCACTGGGTTCTGTTTTTAGAAAATACCACATCCTGTATCATTGCTATGCTGACAATATGCAGCTAAACCTCCCTGGGTTAAGCACATGACCTACTGAATTGTCATGAGACTGTCAAGAAATGTGCAAAGTGGGAGGAGCTATTTTGGGCACTCCTGCTTCTAGAAGTTAAAGTCCCATTCTTTTTCCCCATTGATTATGTTATATGACTCAGTTGGAACACTTCTATGGCTTGGATCAGCATTAAACTCTCCAAGTTCAATCATCATTCAGAACAATTAAAAAGAGATTCAATTCCCACTGACATGCCTTCTTATCTATAGCAATGGCACTCATGATTCATGAGGATTGTTGCATTCTGAGTTGTGCCAAATTAACAGACAAACCCAAGTTGAAATAATTGAAACCAGCGGCCAATCTCTCTTCGCATATCTATGGCTGTTAAAGTTATTTTCCTGTTATATGCTATTATCAGTCAATCGAATTATTTCAGAAATGTAGTTACCCTGTGGCATTTGAACAGGTAGTGGCACAGACGGATGACTCTCCTCTCCATGTCCCAGCTGCCCTTGCTCCCCACACCCAAAGGAGTAGATTCTCTTGGAGTTCGTTAGCACTAATGTGTGATGTCTGATTGAGAAAAATATAGCACAAACAATATTTAAATGTCAACAAAAAGAGCTATTTCAGACTTTTGCCAGCCTCCAAAACTCCCTTTTACCAGACTATAGCTAGTGAACTAATTTCTCTGCTGTTGATGGAATGAGGCCTGGACAGCAGAAGGAATGTGTAATGCAACAACCTGAGAATATGAGCCAGTGGCTAAATGTTGTGGTCAAATGCTGAGTTACGATCAGGAAGAGGCTTTGACATTCTGTGACATTCTCAAATGAAACAATGAACTGAAATCCCTTCTTAATGTTAAGATTTATAGCCTCATATTCAATAACTTTCTCATGCAGCCATGCAAAAGTGCTCGGATGAACCTGAGAGGTCTGGCAAACCCGGTATAAAAATATATTTAACTGTGCCATTTGTAAGCAGAAACAGTCACAATTGGAAGATGTAACATCAAATCGTGCTTGAACTGAATTAGTAATAAGACCTAATGGCTCATAATAATTGCATAAGAGTTAAAGATTTGTACTGTACCGTCCACATGCAACCTTGTTGACTTTTGCCCCCCAGAGCTCTGCAACAAGCCGAGGTCGTAGTTCATCTCTGGATGAGTTGTGCCCAAGCTGTCCACATTTACCAGAGCCGAATGTAAACACTGCACCCTCCTAAGGAAAAAACCAGGCAACCATTATTATTGTAAGTTATTTACATATCTGTGGTATCTAAGAAAGCAGTATGTGTTTTATTTTTCTTTCCCAAGAAGCATCAGTGAAAAAACTAATCTTGGCTCTCCCTATGAAGTATCTATCTGATTAGTCTGTGTACAGTAAATAATAATATGAATGACACAGATATGATAATTACACAGATTTGCTCTTTAGAATTCAGGTGTGGAGGAAAATAGTTTGTAAATGGTAAATTATTATAAATGTTTTTTTGCATGGTGGCTACGAGTGTGTAACTATCTTCCTTCACACCTGTATTCTCATCGTGGTCGGCACCTCTCCAACACTGGTGTGCATTCCTAATTGCATATATTCTTTGGTCAGTGAGTAAAGTTAGACACAGCAGATACAACCTGTACAAGTTGTAAAGGTAAACAAATTACCACACAGTATGTATTTTCTGAGTTTACTGGAGTTGGGACTGTGGGAGTGACATTGGTGGGACAAGTTAATGCCCACTCAGCGCAAAGCTTTAACAAGTAAATACATACTTTTCTTTTGCAAAAATTATTGAGATAATTCACAACACATTCCATCAGTTTAGCGTCATTTGTAGAACTGTTTACTGTTGTGTTTTTTCTCTCCAGCAATAAATAGTGGAAGATTACAACATGAAATTGTTAGCAGCTGTCTTTGTCTAACCTTTGTCAAAATGGCAGTGTGGTCCTTTCCACAGGAAATGTGAACAGATTTCTTCATGTTCAGGCAATGAACAGATGTTGGAATATGTCTGTCTATAGGACAAATAACAGGTTTACATGTTACATAAACTGTATTATTTATCATTTATAATAAATGTTAGCTGTAATGACTGCTTATTTTACCCGTCGTGTCTCCCAGCCCGAGCTGTCCACAGTCGTTTCTGCCCCAGCCGAACACACCTCCAGAGACAGAGAGGGCGAAGCTCTGCTCTCCCCCTGCAGCGATCTGGACCAGGGGGATCGCTGACAGAGATCGGAGGTGTTGGGGTGAATTGGCGCCGGCCTTCCTCTTCCCCAGACCCAGCTGGCCTCTGGAGTCCTGGCCCCACGTATACACCTGACCATCTGTGGAGAAATCACCATAAGTGCCACTTTTCCTGTCAACTTTTACTATCCTGTCTAAACCCTGGCTGATACAACTTCCCTACACAACAATTAATAGTTAGTGAATGAATGTTGGAGGGGAGAGAGCTACAGGTATTGTATGTGAATGTTGACTTCTCATGGATGGGACTATTTTAGCACTCTGTGTTTCTGTCTAGACCCCAGACCCAAGTGTCCATGACTGTGTTAGGAGCTAAAAGAATCTTAAATTAGAAGCAGCATACTGTACCTTTGGTCAGGGCAACTGTATGCTGGCTCCCACAAGCAACCTGAGAAACTGCTATGTTGCACAGCACTTCTGGTGTCCTGAAAAGGCAGAGACCAGAGACACTTTAGTAACTATTAGAGTTCACTATCATGAATTCAGGTGCAAATATTTATAAAATATCTATTGTCATTCAGTTGCAATCAACAAACTTGACACATAAACTTTGTCTGTCCTTACCTTGGATTGAAAGGAGTGTGAGCGGTGTCCACACAGAGTACGTTGCCCCTCTCAGACAGCAGTGTGACCACATCATCACCACAGCTCACAGCCTGAATCTTCTCTGGACATTTCACATACTCTGGAAGCACACAGCACATCAGGTGATAGTGGATCAATGCGAAAAAACAGAACTTGCTTTAGCCAGATCTTTGTAAAAAAGTTAGAGTGTAACATAAAGACATGGACATAAGAATGCTCACTCTGTCTTCCTTTGGATCTGGTCCCGTCTTCGCTCTCGTTAGTGCGGATGATGAACGCGTCTCCGCTGCGTTTGGTGAAGGCGAGCACATTGTGACCCGCTGACAGATCCGCGATGTGAAAACTGAGCTTCAAAAAGTGAACTGCATCAGCTTTCGATTGAGCTCTGTTTGAGCCATCTTTCAGCCGAAAGCCCTGCTGACTGTCCTCTCCCCATGAAAACATTTTAGCAAAGTGACTCTGAAAGACCGACAGCTGATTTATATGACTCAGCGCCGTCAGTCAGAAACGAAACTCGGTTCGCTCATTATGCAAACCTGGAATGGAAAACAAAAGTTATGACAACACGCAAAGCCTGGTGAAACGAAAATAACACGCCCAGTGTGTCAGCAGCAGCAGGAGGGGCTGGAGAAAGAAAAACGAAAGTGTCAATGGAATATGCAACACAGGAAAAAGACTGCCAGCTCACGGTTAGTATGCTGCAAGCTGTCAGCTACAGTTACAGTAAAACTCATCTATCAGAGAAATAACTCCTCATGTCCATTCTCTTTCAACTAAAAAACAGTGGTGATAAAGTAATGCTAATGTTACCTATCAGCTGCAACTGCGTGGGTTGCCTGTGAACTATGCAGACATTAAATACTGAGGACAAAATAAAACTGCTATTCTTCTTTCTTTTGTAGGTCCAAGTAATGACCAGTATGATATACTTACATTACACTTACTCTCCCTGTTTGCATGTCCACAAGTGCATGGAAGGGTGTATTTCAGCCTGTGTGTGCGTGTGTGTAAAAAAAGTGAAAACAACAATTTCCCCTCGGGGATTATTAAAGTATATCTTCTTCTTCTTCTTCTATTCTCTATCTTTTGTCCAAAATTACACTGACATTGGTATTTTCAAATGATTCATTTTTATTTTTTCCCACATATATATCATTACACATTGCTGAACATAAAATACACACAAACGAAACATTAAAGCAAAGGAGGAAAAACAAATAATAAAACAATAACAAATATTATTCATACATACAGAAAATACAAGTCCAAGAGTAAAATAAAGTGGACTGTTTGCTGTTTTATTATTTAAAATGATAAATGAAGTGGAGGAGAAAGAAAACAAGAGGCTCTTCAAGAAGTGTGTTGTGTCTCATCAAGTTTATTTAGTCATAAGTTTAGTCACGTTCATGTTAAGTGTTTTCTCATGAGTTATTTCACTTCGACTTATATTAACCCAGCTATCCGCAGCAGTGAACTCTTCTTTGCAGTGTGTTTGCTCTTCCATGAAAAACTGTTGTTTTTCTCTTTACAATCAATGTATGCACCCTCAGTCACTGGGATAAAAAACAGATGCTCGAAGTCTTATTGTCTGGAGATATGCAAGAGATTCTGCAGTTGAATTAAACTATTAACCTGGAACACAGTTTCACAACTTAACATTTGCTCTGTCTTAAGGTGTATATCTATGTTCAGTTTGAGCCGTTATTCCATAGCTGAGATGCATAGAAGAATGTATTTTTGACTGCTCCAACATTAAAAATGTTTTAAAAATTCACTCATTTCACTCATCTCAACAAACATGCACAGTCTCTATAGAGGATTAAGATTTGCTGTATACATTTATTTTGTTAAACTTGGCCCCAAAATAAGAAAGTCACTAACACTGTGACGCAGGAGATCAATCAAATAACTTACGTAAAACATCTCTGCAAATTATTTATATACAGTATATACTGAATGTTTGCTATACACCCACCACACACATCATCTTCATCATAAAGACTTTTAAACCCATCATGTTTGTCAATACACAGTTACAGTAGCCACAAAGGCTACTCTTTGGTCAGCCATTTACAAAGTCCTCTGTTCAGTAGAGATACAGTAGATGGTCATGGTACAGCCCCACTAGTACATTTTTTTATGGTTGCTCAGGGCCTCTGTCAGCTTGGTTTGCATGATCTCCTTGGTTGAGTATAAGGGCAGCTCCAGTTCTGAGAAACATGTATGTGTCTCAGGGTAGTACTGGTCATAGGAGAGGTCCTGGACTTCCTTCACTCGGACTTTCATCTTGATCTTTTCCATGCCAAGAATAGGCTCCCTTTCAAAACCTGTCACAAACCCTAGTGGAGGGAAAAGTGGTTATAAGTGTTTCTAGCTTTTTAATTGATTTATTTTTGTGGCATCCTTAATTGTTGATCTACACACTGCCCTCCCCTGAGGTCAAACTGTCAATTCCAACATAATGTTATCGCTGTTCATGCTAAATGTAACAGTTCTTTTATTGATCACAAATAACTGCTATTGCTGCTAAAATATCACCTCCAGTACAAATGCATTTTCCCAAAAAGGCTTACTAGATATCGAATGTAGAGAAAAGTAGATTGTGATTCATGAGTTGCTTACCCTTGATTCAGTGTGTATATAACAAGGCTAGTCTAGCAGATCTGCAATATATTTCAAAATCTTAATTGTTCTTATATGTTCAAATCAGGTTAATACTTACAAAGGAACGCTTTCTTCTGATCCTCATTTAGTTCATCAAAAACCTCCCAAAACATCTGTATGGTAGGATGGTCAATGTGGTACTCCCCCTCATAACTTGTGTTCTAATTACAGTGAAACAGACAATTACAATTACTTCTGTTTTACCACTGTTATAATCAGTTGTTGTTGTTGCTTTTCTTTTGGACTGTACCTGTTTCAGCTTTGCCCAGTCATGGAAGTCTTTTCCCACCAGCACTGCCTGCAGCTCCTTTGGTCGGAACAACTTTACCAAATCTCGGTCACACACCTGGAAGAAGCCTCGCTTGAACTCCTGAAACACACCCTCCACTGATGTGTTGAAGACATGATTCACGTAGGCATCTACAAACTCCTTCCTGTTTATCAAATAAAAGTTTCAGATATTACGTAACTGATAAAGCCCTCTGGGAGAAATTTAGGAGTTATTATTATTTATTACATTTCAGTTTGATAACCAGTGGGTTAAGATCTTCATTTATTATCTCATTACCTTATTGTTAATGCTCTACTTCAGAGCTTTATAGCATCTTTCAGCTTATTGTTTTGGTTTTCCAGCCCACAACCTTACTATTCTAGTTCACTCTCACTGGTTTCATAGTATCACAAAAAATTGGGCAGAGTGATAAATGCTATCATGAACCTTACTTATTTTCATTTGTCACTGGATTTTCAGGATTTTCAGGATCAAGGTCAACCATTGTCCCATCCCAGGTGATCTGTTGTAAGAAAGGAGAATATAGTGATATCAGTGCTTTGGGACATTATAATGGTTTAAATTACAGAGATATTGGCCATATGTGAAACACCTACTGAAAAATACATGTCCTGGTCTTGTAAGTCGTCATCATTGCAGTCTTCCAGAATGTACTGTAAACTCCTTAAAACACAATAAAAGGAATAATGTGTAAGATATCAAAGAAGATGTGCAATGTTTACAGTATCTTCTGACCAGAAAATTAACGCCTGAAACCAAAACTATAAATCACCATCTGTGATATAGATTTACATTCGTTAGCTCAGTGGGTAGAGCTGGCGACCCATGTACCGAGGCTGTGTCCTTGCTGTGTGTTCCTGTCTGTATTCAGCTGTCACTAAAGGCAATAAAAAGCCCCCAAAAATACTTAAAATAAAATATATATATATAAACATTAATTTACACTTACTTTCCAACACATGGGCTGAATTCTATCATATCCTCCAGTGAAAGCTTTACACTGAGCAGCTTCTTGAACAGAGCCAGTGGAAAGGGCAAGTATATGATGCACTGGTTGTATAAAGCCAATCCACACAGAATCCCGAACTGGAAGTATCGCTGGTCGTCCTGTGTCGCCTGGTAGAGACAATTTATATCAGAACTCTACTGTATGCATTTCTTGAATATAGGATTATGATTTATATGCTCTCTTGAGGTAAGACCTTAATATTGCTTTTGCCATCAGAACAGAATGCATTAAATACAATGATTTATAAGTCCATTGTTGGATTAGTAGTAGTGGATCTAAAGTCTTACTCTGGAAGGGAACCATGCCAGCGTTTCAGAGTCATTGAACATGAACATCCCAGATTCAGGTGACACCATCTCGTGAAACGCTTCGTAAAAAAAATCTTTACTGTAGATGTTATCGATTGTGTGGTTTTCATCAAAATAAACCTAGAAGACAAAAGGGCACAACCTAAGTTTTCCTGCAGAAACAGTATACAAGAGAAACTGAACAATGAAAATGACCAAATGACTTTGGTCATACAATGGCTATCAGATTAAAACTACATGTTTACCACAAGTGGCAGCTTGTAGTCACTGTGATCAGCAGTAGCCAGTTGTTCAAAGGTGTCCTCCAAAACCGATGTCCGCTTCAGGTCCAGTTCAAAGAATACTTCTTCAGGTAGTGGAAAATAGCATTCATATCCAAATAAACTATCAAAGATGATGCGTTGAACTGTTTCCAACTGGAATAAAATGCAAGATTTAATTTCTCATAGCTTATTTTACTATTTTACAATTTTTGTGTTATGTAACTGCCAGCTAACTTCAGTGTTTCTTGAACCTGACTGTATTATGTGTAAAGGCTAATGATGCACAGATCAAGGCTTCAGTTACCTTGGTGTAATCAGCATTCATGTCAAAAACCATTTTCTTTGACTGCAGATCCATCACAAGGGGAAAGCTACAGAGGATAAGTGGCTCAGCATGCATGTTCTAAAAGTGAAAAAAAGCATACAGATGTTTTATTTATATCTTTATATTTCACAATGCATGTATATGACAACTATTGAAGATCACAGAAGTTTTTTTAAATAATTTTTTTCATGAATAGAGAGTGTATGAAAGGTGACAGAAACAGAAGGAGGGATTGACTTGGAAGCTATCACGAAGTGTATTCAAACCCCTGATGTACAGACACATGAGCTCACAAACTAATTAAAATTGTTTTTTTTTACCTTGCGTTGTGACCGTGAACGCCAATGCCGCAGATCCTCATCGAGAAAGTGTTTGTCAATCAACAAACAAAAATCACTTTCTTGCATCCTTCGAGGTTCTGCAATCCTGCTGTTGGTCTTTAAAAAAAGTGTTTTATTTACTAGATGAAAGGTTCAACAAAGTTCAAAGCTTTGTTTTGTAGTAAGAGAGAGCAGGATTACGAGTTTAGGATCATGGTGTGTGACATTTACAGAAAATATAGGTAATAAATACTAACATTGTACATATACTGGAGGACTTGCAGCAGGTTTCTGACTCCAGAGTTGCGAGGTACAGGCTCAAAGGACAGGATCACTGAGAGGGCCTGCTTCCATACCTTCACATGTTTAACCATGGTGGTGGGTGACAGTGAGGACCACCAGTCCCCTGAAGGAGACAGCATGGAGATTTGCAGACATTAATACAAGTAAGCATTTCACAACTAAGCAGATGTCAGGGACAACATTTCGGTACCAAAAATGGAAATAGAAATTCTCACAATTTGGTTTGATTTCACGAAAAACTTTAATAAATTATGTTTTTAAAGATAAAAATAAAACTATAATGTTTCTGTTGATGTTACATGTGTGGTGGTGACAGTACCTATGACCTGGAGGCTGTCAGCCGACAAACTCAGTACGGTAGCAGCGAATGCCTCAGCAAGCTTTGTGCTCGTATGTCTCTTGTTGTGTTTCTGGATCACGTGCAGAAGCTCATTGAGAAGCAGGTAGATCCTCAACCCCTCCACTCCCACTGGCTTCTTATCAAGGGAACGAAGCAAGTGCAGCAGAGCATCCTCAACCTGTCAGTTTGAAAAGGATCGCAATGGTCACTCATCAGCCAACACTTTTGTTCCAGTATGTTGGTGTTCAGGAAAAAATAACAGGACTATTTGGTATTTCTTTTAAAGCCTCCGATCAGTTAGGAGACTCATAATATTTATTAACTTTTCATACACATTACAAACATACATACCTCTGCTAAAACATTGTCCTTCTTCACCAGTTTCTTGAAAGCAATTCGTGCAAGTGACAAGTTCACGCCAGAGTACTTTGGTGAAGTCTGGAAGTGTTTATCTTTTCTAAAAACACAAAGAAAAAAACTGTACTGACATCTGTGTGAACATCTGGGAGCCAGTAGATGTTCTAATTCACCGGATTAAAAGTTATGATGATGATACTATGTTTACCTTTGCTCTAGGAAGCTTTTATTCACACAAGATGCAGAGGAAAATGTCCTGTGAATTTCCCTGTGAAGAGTTATTAATACAGTGTTAAAAGCAGTCATAAAACATCAGGCCATTCAAGAAACAAATTACATACTGGAAAAAAAACTGCTCCTGCTTTATACTTACTGTTTTATCTTTTTCCATGCCTTTGCATCACATTCAGAGGTCCATTTGTCAATCATGCCATCAAGACAGGGCTGTGTTTCATTGCTGACACTAGCACTGTTGGACTCCTCATGAGCTTCCTGTGTAATAAACAAGTAGAGTTGATGTTCACATTATAGTCCAACCACCACCTGTATGAATCTCTTCAATCTTCGTACAAATGACACGACTTTACACTTGCTTTACAATGAAATTGCTGGTGGTGCAATCGCCAATCTTTCCCCTTAATTTTGGAGAATGCAGGTTGCCAAAGTTTTGTTTTTGACAACTTGGGAATGATCAATGACTAATCATCAATATTTTCCTCAGAATGCTGTCCTGGGACTTTTTCAATGTTTGCTTTTGTTTTTGATTATCCTCCATCAAAGTCCACCATGTTGCTATTTATTACTATGTACCTTACAGAAGTGAATGGGGAGGATTGGCATATGCACTGCCCACAGTTTGAAAGGTCTAAAGTCATGTTATTCACAGTGCAATTGGTGAAGCTGGGCTGGTATTTCTGATGGTACCTCGTTAGACGTGCATGTCACAAAAGAACAGTTTTCTCCTGCAAAGATGTTTCTAATTCTAAGGTCATCAGCGGCATCTGGAACAGTAAAAGAATAAAAAAGTAATCTCCTTCATGAAATCGTTCATTGCATTCACATTATCTAATTCA